GTGTGTGTGTGTGTGTGTGTGTGTGTGTGCGTGTGTGTGTGTGCATGAGTTATTGTTTTTGTTTCCTGTGGAATGCCTCCTCTGGCCGCCACAGATCTACTGTAATATTTCACGAGAGCAGAGAGCAGATTTGCTAATAAAGTCAAAGCTCATMCGTGTATTGCGTTGAAACAGTCTTACCAAACTGAAAGTCAGTGCTCACCCATGCTGTTCTCCAAACGCACGGCTTTTTAAAAACCACCCTCAAGGGACCAAAGAGCCTCACAGAACACCAGCCTGACTCAGTGATATCTGTACAGAAGAAGATTAGGAGCCACAGTGAGAAAAAAAATGGTTTCCTTAATTCTGTGAAAAACTAATTTCTTTTTTTTCTCACCGTGACTCTATCTTCTTCTGTATATCTGGCTCTCTGTTTTATTTCATAAAGTTTATTTTTGGTGTATGTGACCAGAGGCAAACATTGAAAACGTCATTATTTATTTCAGTCTGTCTGTTACATATTTATTGCTTCTAAGCAAACTGATCAAAAAGAGAGAAAACTGTACAGATTTTTCATTTTGTCCAACAAAAGGAAACTTGTCTGTCTTCATCTCTTATGCTTTGTGGGACTACAGCACACATTTAAGTTTGAAGTTTATGTCAAAATGAAGAAAAATCCTTCTGATTAATGTGCATAATGCAAAACCTGAATGCAAACTTTGTCATTTCTTTTGTTTTCCCACCTGTGGCATAAAAATAAGTTTCAGCAGAGATGAAAGCAAACTGATGAATGTACAATTTTATCAAGCATATGGTTAGAAATTCTCTCTTCACTACTTACGGTTGCCATGCTTGAGTCAGAACAGCGCTTGAGCAGAAAAATGTCAATAGTTTGCAGAACATTAAAGCTGAAATCCATCGAGCAGCGGGGAAATTCAAATGAGGTGAGATGTTTAAAGGTACTCATTGGAATGTCATGAAGAGCGGTCATAAAATATGAAACAAATATGTTACAAATTTTCTCTATCAAATTTATGGTTATGTGTACCTAAATTAAAAGGCTGTAAGCTAAATTTGTGAACAGCTGCCAGCTACCAGAGGCATTTGTTTACACATTTAAAGGAATCAAAGTGTTTGAAAATGGGCCAACAAAAGTGACATCAGAGAGGTCWGACAGTTATGATGTATCACTACTTGTTAAGTATGCAGATAGAAGTGTTGTTTACATTGAGTGCGTACCTGCATTTCATAATAGCATGTCAATAATACTGCTACTGGAGTAAATTATTCTAATGCACCATTTGTTGTAGTTCAGGAAAACATTTTATGTTTGCAATGAGTACCTTTAACTACTTTTTCTGCTCTTTATATTTTCTCTCCCAAATTGCAAACAGCTCTTGCTACARAAAATATAGCTAAATAAATCAGTGTCAACAACGACTGTCGTGACCATTTTCAATTATTCAGAGTTGCGAAGTGGCTCAAACCCTCCAACCACATGTTACTGCTGCGTTTGTTTCGAAGAAACCGAATCCTAAAGGTGACAGATGCTGTAATCTGTCTCTTGATCACCATCATTTCCCTGCAAAAAGAAAAAAAAAATACTGTTTATATTGTCTCTTCCCCAACTGTGTTTGGGCCAAAAACTGCTCAGTCTAAGCTTCAGAATCTTCTGTCTCCCATCTGTCATCAGACCCCCTCCAGTTTGGAAATAAAGCAACTTGAAAAAAAATCATGAGTCATTCTCCGGTTGGTTTGTTTCGAACATTTTTATAAAATGAAGCATCATGGGAACAAAAAAGAAAGAAGCTAGTAATGTTACAATTTCCAAGAGGACCGTTTGGAATATGCAAGGGTTTTAAGAGACTGGTGCTTCTGTTTGCGTGCGTGTTGAAGCTAAGTGCATTTTAAAGCAATTTCCAGTTGTCATAAAAAAGCCTTCGGTGGCGACACGACTTGGGGAAATAGTCCATAACATTGTGAGCTGATGGCTGTTCAAGATGTCGCTGGGAAATCTCGCGTCACAGTGGGACATGAGAAGCAGGCTGCCTTACTGCCAACAAACACACAGGAAGTCTATAAGGAATTAGAGCATGTTGCCAAAATGTTGCATATGCACACACACACACGCAAGCTGAGTGTGTCATTCTGCACCAGTTTTAATCAAACTGTATTCAAGTCGTGCCATGGAGCAGCCACACACACACACACACACACACACACACACACACACACACTGACACACACACTTGTTGTGACAGCTTTACACATTTTAGGTCAGCAGGTCTTCTGCGAATTATGATTGATTTATGCTGATGGACAGCTCAGAGATTTCACAGATCCGAGTCAAGGAATTTTGTCCTATTTTTCGTGCCACACACACACACACACACACACACACACACACACACACACACACACACACACACACAC